GCCACTTTGCTTCTTGAATGAAAGGAAGCGAGACCCCGTCGAGCTTCCAGAAAGAGGAAATATGGAAACAAGTGGGAGGGGGAAAAGCCCAAGGGAAAATTGCTAGAGTGGAAAACTCCAGGCAGCATGAAACGATCCTGATTGATAACAAATCCTGATCACTGCAGTAGGTTTTCTGAACCATGCCAGAGATACAAGGGGTTCCATGCTGTGCACACTGCGGCCATGAGCCTCTGGGAGCTGACGAGGAGCTGGACTGAGTGCTGTCTGTTGCCCTCAAGGCTGCCTCACTGCTTGGCTGGGGAAACAGTCTTATTTTCTGTCTCTTGCTTTGCTTTCTTGATGGCTTCTGGTTCCTGACTCTGCTCTTTATTGACCCTCCAAATCCAAAATAACCATCTCCCATTCACCTCCATTCCCTTCCCACTCCGGGGCAGGTCAGCCAGTGTCATTGACTGTCTAATAAACTCATTCATTTTTGGATGTGAGGCAGTTTGGATTCTGCAGAGTCCGCTAACGCAGCAGCTGTCCTCTCGCATCAGGAGACAGGTCCCTTGGTTCCACAGCGTTAGTAACATAGGCTCCAGCAGCAAAAAACATATTAGGGGAAATGTATAGGCACTGTCTAGACTGAGCAAGGCTCAGGTAATAGGAAATCCTGAGTTCTAATCCCAGCTGCTTTGGACAACTTGCTTCAACTTTCTGTGCCTCAGTTTCTCCATCTCTTAAAGAGTAATAACTTAGCTGCAGCCCAGGAAGGCTAAACTGAGCCCTGCATATAATTCAGCAATGCAGTTGTGCGAGGGGCTGCATGATTTCCCTTTTTACTGAGATGTCATCCCAATCTATTGATGTTGCATTCCTGTTTTCCTGCAGTATTCCAGCTCCACTTGTCTGCCTTTTCCATGCCTGTGTATCCTAGGAGCTGCCATGGCACAGCTCTCAACCCTGCACCTGTAGATCCCTGTTCCTGTACAGCTTAAGAGGCATAGATGGTAGCACCCTCCTTCTTCAAGCCCCTGCTCCTCTCTCAAAGAGGACGTCAGCAGCTTTATCTGGGTTCTGTCACACCAAGTATAGATCCAGCTGGCTAACAACCCAGTCCAAGAAGGCTCCTGCAGAGCCATGGGTTGGGATTTTTCTCCTACAATGCAAATAGCCCTCAGATATTTTCAATTTGTTGTACACTTGTTTTTAAACAATCCCATAAAACTGCTGAACAATTTTGTGATCTGCTATCACTGCACATAATTACTAGTCTGCCTCCATATCCCATGCTGCTCAGAGATGTAAGTCATTGGTGCCTTACTGCATAGTCTAGGTCCATAGTATCTCATAATACACGGGGCCACCCCAGAATGGATTTGTTAATATTGGTACAGTAATTTGAAAATATAAAGGGCTATAACTTTAGTGGTATTATCTAGTAACCTAAAGGATACACCAAATAGCTGATGGGATAGGTTGCACATGGGATGCTGGCAGAGCAGATACCAGCTCATGCCAAGGTCCCCATGTCTCAACCAAACATTATAAACATACAGCTGGAATCGGTCTGGCTCACCTGTATGTTAATATTGTTAAAATAGGTATGAGACTTAAAAGACGGTGTTAAAACTTTATGGAATGCTTGTGAGCTGCTGCAAGCATCAATCTCCTTACAATAAGTGACACAGCCGTTATAAGATAATATTTGAAAGTTTGCATTGTGAGCGCCTCTGTGTAAATCACCTGTCAGGTGTGAGACATTAACTAGTGTGAAATGCTGGTCTCCAACCAAATGTCCTGCCCAAAAGAGAAGACCCATCAATACCAAACAAACTACTGTGGAGAGTAGAGGACAAAAGACTCTGTTGCTGGCTCTCTTCTCCCCCTCCTCCCTGCCCCATGAAGATAAATCACGCAAGTGAATTCCCCCCTTCAGCTGAGTTCCCCCTCTAAGTGCAAGGGGGAGCGGGAATAAAACTCCCTAACAAGAAGGAATTCTATCTCTATGCTGCTTGGAGTCTGAAGGCAAGGTTTTCTAGGCATAAGTAAGGGTATGTCTTCAATCAGCAGCAATCGATTTATCGTGTCTCCCCCGAGCGCTCTCCCGTCGACTCCTGTACTCCAGCACCGCGAGAGGCACAGGCATAGTTATTCATGTAGCTGAAGTTGCGTAACTTAGATTGACCCCCCTCCCCCGCTTAGTGCAGACCAGGGCTAAAAGAACCCTAGTGCTTAGCCCTAAAGGGCGTATAGGGCTTGTTTATTACAGAAGCATCCATTACATTTTGAAACTTAAGATTGGAACTCATTTGTGTGTGTATGTTCACGTGCTTTAACCTTGTAAATAACTCTTATTTACTTTTCCTATATAAATTTAGGTAGCTTATTATAGGACTGGCCAGAAGCATTGTCTTTAGTGTGAGATCTACAGTGCAATTGATCTGGGGGTAAGTGACTTGTCCTTTGGGATTTGAAGTAACCTGAATATTGCTGTGATTCTTGGTGTAAGGGACCATCTATCACAAAGGTAGACTTACCTGGGTGGCAAAACAGATTGGAGTACCCAAGGTGACTGACTGTGACAAGGCAGTTATAATGCATGATGAATTTACACTTGATAATTGGTGGTGAAATCTAAGTAGAACTCTCAGCCATTTTGGGGTTTGTGCCCTGGTTCTTAACAGGCTGCCCCGAGGTTGATATTCATACTCTCCTGAGCCACTGAAAGACTGTTTGACCACATACAACCTTCATCTTTGTTTCATCCATGGGGTACAAGACATGGATTGCACCAAGAGTCATCCACAGATGTGCTAGGAAGGGGGAAGATACACATAAACCAGACATTGCACCTCACTCCTTATCTGCAGCAGCAACCCTTCATATCCTAGTCTTGGGGACTCCCCATGCTTGCACTGCACCCCACCCCTCTGGGCTTTTCCAATCCTGGAGTGCCCACAGCTTTGACAATGTGCCAAGGGCCTGACCTGCAGCACCTCTTTATTCCAGTACACTGCCAATACACTTCAGCACCTGGAATGTGCAGTCATGCCCATTACGCCAACAGTGTTAGCCTCATCCTTTCTTTTTTGCCTTCGTTCATGATGCCTCCTATGCCTGGAATGATCTCCTGATTCCCATCTGTCAGGTCTCCAGTCCCCTTTCAAGTCCCTACTAAAGACACCCCTCTTCTGTAGGGTGTACCCATGGAAAAACTGAATAGACTGGGGAGAGGAACAGAAGGAAGGGGGAAATAAAACCCATGGTGACTTTCTCTCTGGATGTCCCAATGCATCTTGTTGGTCATGCAGAGCATAAGCTCTCCAGAGCAGAGACTTTCATGATGTCTGATTATTGTTCACAGCTGAGCACATTACTAGCTCTGTTAATGATCATGACGTGCAGCTATTCTGATGGAAGAACTCTGATGATCCAGTTGGAGGAATCTTCAATCAATGGGTTTTTTGGAGATGAAGGAGGTAAATACTGCAGGAAGCCAGAGCTGGGGCCAGGATGGTATCCTGAAAGATCCGTTCATGTTTAGCAGGTAGGTGGGATACGACGAGAGATACAATTTCCATCCCACCATCAACCTCAGCCTGGACCAGTCCACACAAGAGATCCACTTCCTGGACACTACGGTGCTAATAAGCGATGGTCACATAAACACCACCCTATACCAGAAACCTACTATTCCTACCTACATGCCTCCAGCTTTCATCCAGAACACACCACACGATCCATTGTCTACAGCCAAGCTCTACGATACAACCGCATTTGCTCCAACCCCTCAGACAGAGACAAACACCCACAAGATCTCTATCAAGCATTCTTACAACTACAATACCCACCTGCTGAAGTGAAGAAACAGATTGACGGACCCAGAACAGTACCCAGAAGTCACCTACTACAGGACAGGCCCAACAAAGAAAATAACAGAACGCCACGAGCCATCACTTTCAGCCCCCAACTAAAACCTCTCCAACGCATCATCAAGGATCTACAACCTATCTTGAAGGACGACCCATCACTCTCACAGATCTTGGGAGACAGGCCAGTCCTTGCTTACAGACAGCCCCCCAACCTGAAGCAAATACTCACCAGCAACCACACAACAGAACCACTAACCCAGGAACCTATCCTTGCAACAAAGCCCGTTGCCGCTATGTCCACAGATCTATTCAGGGGACACCATCATAGGGCCTAATCACATCAGCCACACGATCAGAGGCTCGTTCACCTGCACATCTACCAATGTGATATATGCCATCACGTGCCAGCAATGCCCCTCTGCCATGTACATTGGCCAAACTGGACAGTCCCTACGTAAAAGAATAAATAGACACAAAACAGATGTCAAGAATTATAACATTCAAAAACCAGATGGCGAACACTTCAATCTCTCTGGTCGCTCGATTTACAGACCTAAAAGTGGCAATACTTCAACAAAAAAAACTTCAAAAACAGACTCCAGCGAGAGACTGCTGAATTGGAATTAATTGGCAAACTGGAGACAATTAACTTAGGCTTGAATAGAGACTGGGAGTGGATGTGTCATTACACAAAGTAAAACAATTTCCCCATGTTTATTCCACCCCCCCAGCCCCCACTGTTCCTCAGACATTCTTGTCAACTGCTGGAAATGGCCCACCTTGATTATCACTACAAAAGGTTTCTTCCCCCCCCCCCCCCCCTTGCTGGTAATAGCTCACCTTAAGTGATCACTCTCCTTACAGTGTGTATTGTAACACCCATTGTTTCATGTTCTCTATGTATATAAATCTCCCCACTGTATTTTCCACTGAATACATCCGATGAAGTGAGCTGTAGCTCACGAAAGCTTATGCTCCAATAAATTTGTTAGTCTCTAAGGTGCCACAAGTACTCCTTTTCTTTTTGCGAATACAGACTAACACGGCTGCTACTCTGAAAAGAGAGATACAGTGTGAGAGGGCACTTCCTGTTGGCACCTCATTATCCTATTGGAAACCAAGCAAACACCAACTATGTGGTACTATGAAAACCATCAAAAGTTTATTAAGGAATTATTGTAAAAATCAGTGCACACACCAAGCAGAGAGCTGGAGGAGTTAGGGTCTCAGAAATATAACCTACAGGATAGGGCTCTGTTTGAAAGATCAGCTTTGGCTTGAAATGGGGAGTGATTCAAACAGAAGAGCTTCCCTTTATTTCTTCCCACACCCGATCAATTTGACCCATTCCCTGAATGACCCCAGAAAAAGGGCAATATTTGGATTACCAGGAAGTCCTGCTTTGGCATTTAGTTGAACTGTGCATTGGATAACAGGCAGCAAACACTGAGTGACGCTTGTTAGGTTCCTGGCTGATAATGTTTTCACCTGGTTTTCCCTTTCTTTGTGGGTCTCACATCCTCATCTGCCTCATCAGCTGCCTTCTCTCCTAAGCTGAGAGTCTGCAGCAGTGAAGGACACAATTTCTGTGCCACGGCCCAGGCCCAGAGACACATCTCCACACGATGAGGAGTCCATGCTTTCTCTGTATCCACTAGAAAAGATCAGAAGGGAGCAATTAAACTCTGCAACAGTAGAGGAACCAGATGTAGATTGATTCCTACCCTGTCTCCCCCATCTCCCAAATGAATTTTTGGTAAGATATGTGGCCCAGTAAGTGAAAGGCTGATAGTACAGATTAGAATGAGAGACTTCCCTCACACTGCTCTGCCAATGCACGTTGATCCAGATCTGCAGCATCTCTCCTGAGCTGCCACCCAACTTTGGCAATACCTCACTCCGGCCCTGCAAACATCCCTCCTGCTATTCCAGTTCTGAGCCTCTTCTGAGTGGAGAATGTCAGTCATACCAGACTGGGAGGGAGGGAAAGATCAAAAGCTGCTGCTGTTTCATTGATGTGCATGTGGGCTGGGGCAGGAGAGCATCTCCGCAATCCTGGCCTACAATCGCCCTACTGCTGCTATGGTTATATAGTACAGCAGGGCAGGAAAACTTAGTGGACAAAATCATTGCCACAATGAAACCTTTGGAAATCCAGAAGGAAGACACAGTGCAGGGGAGGGAGACGGAGCTGGCCACAACGTCAAGCAAAAATTGAAGGGAGAATGAAAAGGCAATGCAAATTCATGGTGGGCACAGAAGGCTAGGAAAGGTTAATAAGGGAAATCTTGCAGAGCAGCTGTTTCAATACAAAAACAATGAGGAGTCCTTGTGGCGCCTTAGAGACGAACATTTATTTGGGCATAAGCTTTCCTGGGCTAGAACCCCCCTTCCTCGGATGCACGGAGTGAAAATACAGGAGCAGGTATAAATACATGAAAGGATGGGGGGTTGCTTTACCAAGTGTGAGGTCAGTCTAACGAGATAAATCAATTAACAGCAGGGCACCAAGGGAGGAAAAAAAACTTTTGAAGTGGTAAGAGTGGCCCGTTACTCACACCTTCTTGTCAACTGTCTGTAACGGGCCACTCTTACCACTTCAAAAGTTTTTTTTCCTCCCTTGGTGCCCTGCTGTTAATTGATTTATCTCGTTAGACTGACCTCACACTTGGTAAAGCAACCCCCCATCCTTTCATGTATTTATACCTGCTCCTGTATTTTCACTCCGTGCATCCGAGGAAGGGGGTTCTAGCCCAGGAAAGCTTATGCCCAAATAAATGTGTTCGTCTCTAAGGCGCCACAAGGACTCCTCGCTGTTCTTGCTGATACAGACTAACACGGCTACCACTCTGAAACCTGTTTCAATACAGGCTCTAATGAGAGAGGCTCTACAGTGACTGCAAGGTTCAGGTCTAAGAAACCAGGAAATTCTGTTTCCTGAATTTGACTACCAATTAATTTGCTTTTCAATTAATCACTTGAGGCAGAAACACCAGATATCAACAATGTTGTACTTACGGCAACTTTCAGGTGAGGATCTCAATGCACTGAGCAGAGGTGAGTAAATGTTACTTTCATTTTACAGATGGGGGAAGCTGAAGCACAGAAAAACTAGGGCCCAGATCCTCAAAGGTATTTAAGAGCTTAACTCCCATTGATGGGAGTTAAGTGCTTAAATACCTTTGAGGCTCCAGGCCTATGTGATTCAGCCAAGGTCATGCAATCAATGACAGAGACAAGAATAGAATCCAGGGTCCTGACTCCCAGTCATTTGTGCTAACAACTGTTTTCTTGTATCATAATGACAACCTTACTGTAAGCACTAAAGGGTTCGTTGCAATTCAAATAATTTCTGAAATTCAGACCATAAACCCTTAACTAAAGCAGAGAGATACAATCCTCCCTCCCCTACCCACTATGAGGTCTGTGGCAGTGACCCTACCTACCCTTACCTTGGTTTAGTTTCTTGACACAGAGCTGGATCTTGCCCAGGTAGAGGATATAGTGCTTGAGGGTATACTGAATTGGGGTGAGGCCAGGGATAGACTCCATTGCTTCATCTGCCATAAATGCCGCAGACTCTGGGGCTCCTGCAGCTAGAATTGCTAAGTGGGAAGAGCGTAAGGGTCTGAGCAGAGAAAAGGAAGGGGTTGGGGTTAGGAAGAGATGACATGGGGCAGCCTACGTGACAGTGATTGCCCAGTGTCTTGGAGAAACCTGTGGCTTCCCCCACCCTGTTCTGGTTCTCAAAACGCCTGGAATCAGACTCGGGATCCCACCTTCCAGGACACATCATGGAAACTGAACCCAAAAGTATGTGTCTGCACCTGTATTCCCAGCAGAGATGTGACTGAACCAAAACCCTGGGTGTTTGAACAGTCTTGAATTTGAGAGGAGAGGGGGACTGAAATAAGAATTACAATTTTCCAGTTTGAGCCAGTCTCTAATTCCCCCACATGTGAATGTGCCCCTGCTTTTTACACACACACACTCTCTCTCTCTCTCTCTCTCTCTCTCTGAGCCAGAGACCTAGCCACACCTTCATATGCAGGCGCCATCCCATGCAAGTCCAGATGCCTTTGATTGGCAGCTTCTGCCAGCCACAGCACTAAGCACATGCAAAGGTCTTCTCTCTAAGAACTGGCCATTGGAAACAAGTTTGGCTACTTGCTGGATTGGGAAGAACTGAGACCAGGTTGCAGATGTAGGTGCTTCCCCTCTCCTTTCCCCAGCGCTCAGTTGTAGGGCCAATACTGTCTCCCATAAGTGTTTATCATCCAGGAAAGATCAGCATTTCAGATCCCACTCTAACTAGCACCATTTGGGTGGTGCTATTTCCACAGTGCTGTGGAAAACCTGAACAATCTTCCCATGTGTTAGCTAACGGTATAGCCAGGCCCTGGCCCTCTTGGATTTATCCCCTCCCTCCCACAACTCCTTACCCGAAGCTGTGGCTGGTCCCACAGCCTTTAGCTGGCTCAGCTCAGTGATGGCAGCTGCCACATCTGGAAGGAGCTGGAAAGCTTTCCTTGTACAGATCTCCACCGTTTCACTGGAGTTAGTGGCCACCAGCTGCTGCAGACGAGGACGAAACTTTCCCCGCTAGATGGGAGGAGAGAGTAGAGCATGGTAAGGACATCCCAACCTGAGGGGCTCAGCTTCTTTGCTCTACAAGTGAGTACAGCTCATTGCTACAGGAAAAAGTCTATACTTTATGGGCACCAGCAATTAAAAGTGGCCTTTATAATAAGAGATTCAATACTGTGGGGCCATGAGTTCCATTCCAACACATGGGAAAAGTATAATGAGTCCTTCCAGAGATATTTCTTTTTAGCAGAGGTTCCCAAGCTATGGTCTGTGGGCCACTAGTGATCCAGAGGCAGAGCCCTTCCTGGCATTCTCCAGGTTGAGATGTTTTGTGATTGGAGGGAAGACACCTCAGGTGGGGATCTTTATCCTCAAGCATGGTCCAGAAAATGAAAAAGCTGTGTGAGTATTTTAAAAGGAGAATGCCAAGTGAGCTGAGGCTCAGAACTGAGGCTCTGTTTGGGGGGAAAAGGTGTTTTTAAAACCCTAGGTGTGCACGATTTTATGAAACAAAAGACTTCTAGCAATATTTTGTTTTGCTGGAGGGTGGGATTTGAAGCTTCCTCACCCACACTCTGAGCACATCACCCCCAACTCCTCACATCACTTCAGGGGCTTCATCTACTTTTCCTCTTTCCCAGTGTAGATAAAGCCTAAGCATGGGCTTCTCTGACCGCACCTTCAAGCCTCTGTCTTATTACAATGCCACTAGTTTCTTACCTTAGTTTCCACCATCTCCCCTCACTTTATCCCCTATGCTCCTCCTGCTCCTCTCTCCTAAATACTCCCTTTGACTTTTCCACCCTGTCCATTATACTTGGACTAACCACCCTCTTCCTGTGAGTCAACAGCCCATGATAATTTAATTTGATTATTATGCAGCAGGGATCCTACCTCCTTGTTTGTAAAGAATTGTGTACCATATTAATGTTTCATAAATAAGTGACTGAAGAATAATTCCCCTATTGTTGGGAAAGCCACACACAGCTCTGTTGTGCTTGTCAGAAGAAACTTACCAAGCTGTGTGAAATGCAAAAAGTTAAATTCAAGGTATGCTATTTGTTTAAAAATATTCCTGCTCTGATATTCTAAGGTATTATTAATGCAAACAGAGGATAAACTTTTAAATAAGGGGCCAAATCCTCAGCCTCAGAAGGTGAGGCGGCTGCTACCTGGCACAGTGGCTCTATGCCATCCCCATTATAGGATCCTATGTAGGGGTCATAGCCTGGGCACCTGCATGTGGCAGAAAAGCCATATGCCCCTGTGATCACTGACTGCTGGGAAAATCCCTTGGGGCTATGGCAGCTGACTGCAATTTACAGCAAGCCTGAGGCTTCTATAAGTTGTGTTGGGGGGCTACACTAACCCCTCAATTAAGGAGCCAGGAGCCACAAAGGTAGCATAAAGACACCATTGCTCCTCCCACAGTTGTGCATCAAGCATGGTTCAGACAGACCGGAGGATTTGGCTGGATTGTTTTCCTTGACTGCAGTACCTTAACAATATTAACAGAATTAAATAGATATTAACTATAGAGGCTTTAAGACTGGCAACATCAGCCTCTTATCACACGGGTTAAAAAAAAAAAAAAAGTAAATATAACCAGCAGAGTTCCAAACCACCAGCAATTGAAAATGTTATAGACCTCAAGGCTCTGAGCCCATGCCTACACTAGAGAGTTTACAGCAGCACCGATGCAGCTGCCCCACTGTAAGATCTCTAATATAGTCACTCTATGGATCGTGAGTCTAATTACCCCAAACCCTGCAAGTAGCAGTAGCAGCCTTCTCACTGACACCGCGCTTTCCACACTGATGCTTAAATTGGCATAAATTATGTTGTTCAAGGGGATGGCTAATTCACACACTTGAGCAACATAATTTATGTCGACTTAAGCTGTAATGTAGCCTTAGACCTTCCCTGCCACTATACACACACTTTGATTATATGGCTGAGCTGTTACATGTAGCAATTCATCTGGGGAAATCTACTTACAGCAAGTTTCCATTCCATCAGTTTCACCACTTCACCCTGTGTCAGATATTTTTCTTTCCTTCCTGAAATAGCACCTGGCAGCTCCTCCTGATACCTGAAACAAAGTCCCATTGGCAGACAAGGAGTCAAAATATATTCTTGAACCTACCTGTTCATGCAGCTGGAGTTGCAGCTCGTACTGAGTGGGCACTGCTGTGAGGAAGCTCATACTATTGAAGACCCAGCTGCTACTAAGAACAGTTGGCAGGGATTTCACACTGAAAGACAGTGGACAGGACAGCTACAATGGACAGGACTCATAGCTGTATGCCTCCTCAACAGGTGACAAGGTGGTGTTCCTTGACAGACCAGTGCTTCAGAAAAGAAACCATTTTAAATGCTAGAGGGTTTACCATTTATCCAGCTCAGAAAGGTTTTTCTTCTTGCCTCCTTTGGCTTTGAGTACATCCCAGTAGACATCAAACACTGTCCTCCAGTAGGTGGGGTCTTCACAACCATACAGCTCTCCACTTAATGGCATGTTTCAGGGTTCCAGGACACTGAGGACAAAGAACATCTAAAAGAGGAGGACAAACAGACCTGATGCTGGTGGAACTACAGAGCAGCGACCTTGTGGGGAGAAAATGCTGATACTTAACTCCCCTCCCTGCAAACCCCAAACCCTTCCTTGCATCATTCACCTTCTACTTGCCCTGTCAGCATTCTCTCTTCTCTCTCTACCCCCAGTCCTTCACCCCACCCTGTTCTCCAGCAGGCCTCTCTACCTCTTAGCACCTTTGGTCCTTATGGCCCCCCTCAAGGCGCTGCCTCTAAGCCTGGCTATCCCTGCACCCCAGAAAGCTGCAGCTCTCCTTGCCCGACTAGCCCCTCGCTGCGCTGGTCTTTATTTCCGTGCAGCGCTCTGTGCCTGCTTTTACCACCCAGCCCCCTACTCCATCTCCCTGGCCCCCACTCCAACACCCTCAGCTTCCTGACCCTCCCAGGCCTCCTCCAAGCCCCCCATTCCAGCCCCCTGAACCCCCATAGACCCCTCAGCCCTGACCCTCCTAGCCCCACCCTTCAGCCCCCTAACCCCTACTCTATCTCCCACCCCATCCTCCTCAGCTCCCTAACTCTCCCAGCCCTGACCTTCCCCCACTCCATCCTCCTGACCCTCCCAGCCCCTTCCTCCCACCCCTGCCTCCCTCAGCCCTAACTCTTCCTTCCTCCCTCAGCCCTGACCCTCCTAGCCCCACCCTTCAGCCCCCTGACCCCCACTCTATCTCCCCACCCCATCCTCAGCTCCCTAACTCTCTCAGCCCTAACCTCCCCAAGTCATCCTCCTGATCCTCCCTCCCCCCATTATTCCCCTAACTCCCTCTCTCCCAGCCCCCAACTCCAGCCTCCTGACCCCCCTCAGCCCTGACCCCCATCCATCCTCCCTCCCCCCCATTATCCCCGTAGCTCCCTCCCTCCCCCAGCCCCCCACTCCAGCCTCCTGACCCCCTCAGCCCTACCCCCCCCCCCCCCCCCCCCCCCCCCCCCCCCCCCCCCCCCCCCCCCCCCCCCCCCCCCCCCCCCTGCCCAGCCCCCCACCCAGCCTCCTGACCCACCCCGTCCATCCTCCTGATCCTCCCACTCCTCCCTCCTCCCATTATCCCCGTAGCTCCCTCCCTCCCCCAGCCCCCCACTCCAGCCTCCTGACCCCCCCCGTCCATCCTCCTGATCCTCCCACTCCTCCCTCCCCCCCATTATCCCCGTAGCTCCCTCCCTCCCCCAGCCCCCCCACTCCCCCGACCTCCCCCCCCCCCCCCCCCGAGCCCCTCCCGCCCCCCACTCCAGCCTCCCCACCCCCGTCCATCCTCCTGATCCTCCCACTCCTCCCTCCCCCCCCCCATTATCCCCGTAGCTCCCTCCCTCCCCCAGCCCCCCACTCCAGCCTCCTGACCCCCCTCAGCCCTGACCCCCCCCGTCCATCCTCCTTATCCTCCCACTACCCCCATCGCTCCCTCACTCTGCCTCCCCCAGCACCGACTCCGTCTCCCTCTCACCTCCCCGTCCCCGTCCCCGTCCCGCCAGGCCCGGCCCCGCCCCGCCCCGCCGGAAGTCCCGCTGGCTGCGGGCGGGGCGGAGGCGGGCTCGGGCAGGGCCGGCCGGGCTGTCGCAGTGCGAGGCCGCAGGGATCCGGCCGGGCCCCGCAGGGGAGCGCTGGGCTGCGGCATGAAGGGGAAGGAGGAGAAGGAGAGCGGCGGCCTGGGGCTGGGGGGCGGCCCCGGCGGTGGGGGGCCGTGCGGGGGGCCCCGCGGCAGCGCGGCGGCCGGGCTCGGGGGCGGCCCGGGCGGGGGCAGCCCCGAGAAGAGCCACAGCGCCCAGGAGCACAAGGAGCAGGGCAACCGGCTCTTCGTCAGCCGCAAGTACCCCGAGGCGGCCGCCTGCTACGGCCGGGCCATCGTGAGTGCGGGCTGGGGGGCCTGGGGGCCTGACGTGGGCTGGAGGGACGGGGGAGCCGTGCGGCCTACAGGACCAAGCTGAGGCCTAGGTGGGGGCCTGGGGGGAGGGGGAATACTGCGAATTAGCTGTTACAGCCTGGCTGGGGGGGATGTGGGGAGCTGGGGAGGAGGGGCCGGAACCCAATGAGGGGTAGGGGGGCCGAGCCGTGCCGTCTGGGGGGGAGGGGCTGGCACCCACTGCGGGGGGCCGAGCCGTGCCGTCTGGGGGGGAGGGGCTGGCACCCACTGCGGGGGGCCGAGCCGAGCTGTCTGGGGGAGGTAGAGCTGAGCTGTGTAGGGTGAGGGCCAGTTCACACATTGGGGCTGAGCTGTTTGAGGCAGAGGCCAGTATCCCTTGTGTGTCCCTGGAAAGGCGGTACTGCAGGACTCAGTTCCTGCTTGAAAACACACGGGTGCACACACCCCACCCCACACTGCTTGGGAAGAATCTAGGCTAAGGTCCCTGCTTCTTTGGAGGCCTAGTCCCTCCTTCAGTGCAGTGTTGGTAACAAGAGCCCCTTGGGAACAGGAGGCCTGGAAAAACGTTTCACACTCAGGTGTACACACCCTATGGATTTAGGCCCAGACAATGTTTTTAGCATTCCAGTTATTGCTTTGCTTGGGATGCTGATCTTGGCTGGTCAGACTTGGGATATCAATCTTTTACAAAAAGGTGAGTTGAGACTTGTTAGTGGCAATGGCAGTAAACAGGTTTCAGAGTAGCAGCCGTGTTAGTCTGTATCCGCAAAAAGAAAAGGAGTACTTGTGGCACCTTAGAGACTAACAAATTTATTTGAGCATAAGCTTTTGTGAGCTATAGCTCGATGAAGTGAGCCGAAGCACACGAAAGCTTATGCTCAAATAAATTTGTTAGTCTCTAAGGTGCCACAAGTACTCCTTTTCTTTTAATGGCAGTAAAGGCAAACAGCTGGGGATGTTGGAATTTATGATGCTGAAAGGGTTTGGACAGGACACTGTTTATCTCCTAGTCTCTCTACAAAGTACTATATGGGACCTTTAGCCCTATAATTGAAGTATTTATTGATAGGGCCTTAGTTTCTACTTCAGTATCCACTGGTTATGGGCAGGAAGGATCTTAGTTTAAAATATCGTCCAAAGGACCCATTCTATATAATGCTGCACTGCAGTGCTTGTGAGCTCTGTCTAGTGCAGCACTTGAACCTTTGATGTGGTCCAGATTCCAGGTTTACTATCAGAACCATAATCTAGAGCTCATACTGACATGGCTCTTGGGGATTTGTGTTCCTAAGCATATGTCTTGGGAATAAAACTCTTTGCTTGTATCATGCCTGTCACAAGGGGATTTTTTCTCTCTCTGACTCTGCAGACTGAGATGCACAGTTTGAGATTGAAGGAAATTTCTTTAAACACTCTTCGCTGCTAATGTTAGGAGATTACTGATGGGGATGCTTTTCTCCTAGGTCTGGAATAGTCTCTGTGCCCCGCCTGGTATTTAGCTGAGTCTAGTATTTCCTCTGTTTCATTAGGAACATAGCATTACAAAAGCCAGTTTGTGTAGTCTGTCTATTCTGTGTTTACTCACACACCCTCAACAAATCGCCTCTGCTCTGTGTTGTCTAATCTGATATTCTATGATTAATACACTTCTTGATTTGGGTGACTGTCACCATCTAGCATGTCTCAATGTAGCATTCATGGTTTTCCTAGTTTGCCTATCCTGGTACTGCTCTTTAAGTGTGTTTTCGTGTATCAACCTGCCTGCTGGTTCATGGTAACTGCTAAAGCTTGTTAGTTGGGTCCATGATGATGAACTTGTAAACAACATACAAAACATTCCTTTGAGAAATAAATGATGGGCCAAGATTATACAGCTTTAGACTCTTCATTGTTGTCTCCTGTTTAGAAAGACAGGAGTGATAACTTAGCTCTAAGGACATGCTGGTTAACATCACTTGTATCCATTTACTGAACAAGTTGTGGTCTGAGAGCTAGAGCCTTTTGTCTTTGGAGACTTGGGTTCAAATTTTCTTGAGTCACTCACAAGTGAAAATGTGTATTGGTCTCTTCAGAGTCCTCTGTGGATCTTAGTCCACATCATCAAATCACTGCAGAGTGGAGAAATCCAAAACTTGAGTAGCTAGGAGAGGGTACGGGTCGGGATTGAGATACATCAATGGAGCTGTGCCAGAGTTCCCAGGACTAGAATAGCCGGTGCTGCAGGTCAGGACTGTAGTGCATTGGCAGAGTAAGTGGAGGTCCAGAGCTAGAATACCAAGGGTCTCGTGTTAAGGAATGTGGTGAACTGGGAGGAGGTTAGGCAGGACTGGAACTGTCCAGGGTGTAGCAGATCAAGAAGTGCACTGGTGTTTGTTATTTGGAGGCCCAGGGTTTGGGATAGCAGAGGCTGCATTAGGTCAGGATTGTATTGCACTGGCAGAGCTCTGCAGGGGAAGCATGCACAGTTCCTGCCTGACTGGCTCTAGCAAAATATTTATGTAATTTAAAATAATTCAGGTCAAGGATCAGGTCTCTCCCACAAAGCAAACCTCTGGATCCAACTATACTTTGCAGGATTTCTGAGCAAAACTATCCTATCTCACCTTGTCTACTGGATAATGAGGAGTCTGTGGAGCATCTCAGTGGTGTATCTTTTCTCTGGCCCAGTGAAGGAAAGGCACACTCCTGCCTGGTGGGCCTTGTCAAGGCTTAAATGAGAGAGAAAAGCAGAATTCTGCATTTGCACTTCTGGAAACATGAGGCAGGATTCAGTAGCCTGCCCAGATAGAAAGCTTTTAATGCTAATTTCCATCCTAGTACCTAAATTGTGGCTCCATATTGTAAAGGGTAATGTGCAGTAGGCCAAGCAGGTTAAATACTAGAGCACAGCAGTCCAGAGCTTGCATGCTTCGGCACTGCTTGTGACTGTTAGTATTACGTTGAGCAAACAACCTGAACAGTGAGGACCAATCCAGTAATATTTAGATTTCACAGATACTAAGAGCAGGAAAAAGACTTGAATCCTTCTGTCCCTTCCCATCCATGTGCAGTTATGAAAGTCTCATATGCTTTGTAAAAAGAAAAGGAGTACTTGTGGCACCTTAGAGACTAACCAATTTATTTGAGCATGAGCTTTCGTGAGCTACAGCTCACTTCATTGGATGCATACCGTGGAAACTGCACGAAAGCTCATGCTCAAATAAATTGGTTAGTCTCTAAGGTGCCACAAGTACTCCTTTTCTTTTTGCGAATACAGACTAACACGGCTGTTACTCTGAAACCTGTCATATGCTTTGTGTTATCCTTGGCAGACCTTTAATGTGTCTGACTTTTCTTCCAGAACCGGAACCCCTTAGTGGCAGTATACTACACCAACCGAGCCTTGTGTTACCTGAAGATGCAGCAACATGAGAAGGCCCTGGCAGATTGTAAGCATGCCCTGGAACTAGACAGCCAGTCAGTGAAGGCCCATTTCTTTCTGGGGCA